TGAAGGATAGTTTTTCATTTATATATATTTTGGGGATAAAAAATAAGAAAATGTGTAAATTTTTTAAAAAGCGTACAGGGGGAGGGTATAGCTCAGCGGTAGAGTGCATGCTTTGCATGCACAAGGTCCTGGGTTCAATCCCCAGTACCTCCACGAAAAAATAAAACAAAAAATTAATTTAAAAATACATAAAGAAACCTAATTACTTCCCCCCCAAAAACAAACAGAAGTGTACAAAATTCCCAATTTCTTTGTATCCTTGCCAAAACTTGTTATTTTCTGTTTTTGTTTTTATAATAGCCATCTTAATAGGTGGGAAATGTTAGTATCTCATTGTGGTTTAGATTCACATTTCTCTAAAGATTAATGTTGAGCACCTTTTCATGTGCTTATTGGCCATTTGTATTTTTTCTTTGGTGAAATATCTACTCAAGTCCTTTGTCCATTTTTGAATAGAGCTGTTTGGTTTTTTTGTTGTTGAGTTTTTGGAATTCTTTATATATTCTGGATATTAATCCCTTATTAGATACATGATTTGCAAATATTTTCTCCTGTTCTGTGGGTTTCCATACTATTAAATTTTTATGTTGAGGAAATCGTGCATGTTTGGAATTTTAAATGTTTGTAATGTTTAAGAGAATTTGGCCTTTTCAAGTAACAGGTACAACTTTTGAGTTCTAATTTAAAATGTGTAATTGAGTAACGGATTTAGATCCGCGATTTTATATGAAAATCTTCCTGAGTTTATATGCACTATTGGAAGATTTAAGCCTCACTGTATTTATAAATTTGATTCATTAAAATTCTAAGAATTTCTTCAAGTTTGTGGCAGACATATTGGTCAGTCAAATCAACCAAAGTTCTTATAAAGGAAATTGAAATTATATGTTTAAAGGAGTGTCATTAAGCAAGTGTAGAAATGCAACCCCATTAGTCAAAGTTTCCTGGAGAATGACTGTTAACATTTGCTAGATTAATAAATATATAGAATATTTGTAAGTTGAACTCAAATGCTTAGTGAAGACGTAGGTTTTTAAATTTGTAACTTCAGTAAGTTGAAGAATAATTTTAAATGTAAACCAGTTGTTGCTGTGCTCTTTAGAGGACTTTGATATCTTTTGTCTTGAGCTTAACAAGAGGATACAAACCACTTTATCTAAGCCAAAGTATATAAAGGTTCTTGTGTGTAATTTCTAAAGGTTGCCATTTGGATCCTTGGTGCCAGATGCCTGGTTTCCTTGGGTTTGACTGATCCTTCTGTTGCTCCAGCTCTTCAATGTCTATCCTGCAGATATATTGACAAAACCTCCTGTACCCAGGCGTTCTGCTGGGGCTGAGGACACATAGTCAGAGAGGACAGGGTCCCCGCCTTCACAGCTCACAGGCTCCTGGGGGCAGTTATAGCATGTGATAAGGGGTGCTGTGAGGTAGGAGGCTCCAGGAGCTTTGTGAGCCTCTCATGCCACATGGGAGTATGAGGGAAGGCTTCCTGGAAGAGGTGGCATCTAGGCTGAGACTTAAAAGATGGATAAGAGTTTGCCAGGTATGTGGGGAAGGTTGTCCAGAAGAGGAAACAGCATGTTCAAAAACCCTTTTTTTTTAATCAAAACCCCATTTATTCCTTTTATTTCCATATGTTCCTTTTCATACAAACCACAGGACATTGTCAAAAACAAAAACAAAAACCAAACAAACAAAAAACCCCAGAGACAAGAGGCACTAAAAGGCTGTTTTCTTTCTGGAGGCTGCAAGGATGAGAAAGCCTCACCCGACTAGACCACTTCAGGGTTCAGGGTTCCTCACAACATCCCAGGATGTCAAGTGTTTATAGCACAAAACCTTCTCAGGGTGCAGGTGCTCCAGCGGCGATTTCTGGCCTTGAGTTCATCACAGACAGTAGCCTGCTGTGCGGCTTAGTCACTTCTCCAGGCTGGCAGCCACCTGGGTTTGGCACTGGGCCCTGCACTGCGGCATCCATCCTCTGGGCCTGAGTTCAAGTGCTATTTGCCCAACCCCCCTCAGTGCCGAGCTGGCCGCCTCCCAGCCCTGAAGCCCAGCAAGCCTTCAACATGTCTCTTTTCCTGCTCCCCAGCCTGGGATTGGCCCAAGGAGGCCTCCCTCCTCTTTTTGCTGCCATCTTTCTCCCTCATGTTTGAACCTTTCGGGGGCCCTTTTGGTCCCTGCACTGGCCTCTATGCTCTGGACTGCTCAAGGCTCAACCTCTGACCCCTGCCTAGTGTTCTGCCCTCATCCCCACTAGCCTCCTTACTCAGCCTCCCTGTTCCTCTCACTTCTTGTTCGATGATGAGCTTCTGACTCTAGTCCATGTCCTTGGCCTCCTGCCAGATCAGTCTCTGTTCTCAAACAGTCGTCTGAGACATGTAGGGACTTCAGAGGCCTCTGGGGAACTTAGCCCATCACCTCCAGACAGGAGGAGGAAGTTGCCCAAGTCACAAGGAGGTGGAGGTTCAGAGCCAGAACTCAGCTCTCCATTCTCCCTGCCTGTCCCTTTTTCCAGCTATCCCACTGTCCTGGCTCGGACCCTAGGCTGTGACCCCCTACCACCAATACACACACCCCAACCCTATCCCCTCACCACCTGGCCGAGCCTGGTGCCACCCTCTGAGCCCAGTTCAGCTCAATTCTGACCCAACAGTCTGGGCACAGAGATTCTCTGGGCACCACAGACCTATAGGGAAATCAGGAGAGCATCTCCTCCCCAAAGGGAAGGGGGCCGCATAGGGCAAATTATGAAGTATGGGCTTTTAACATTTTTTTTCTAAATTTTAAAATGTAAATATTTGAAATTCAAAAAGTACAAGGAGACACAGTAAAAAGGAAGCCTTCCTCTCGGCCCCTCCCCCAGCCACCAGTTCCCTTCTCAGGGACAGTGTCTGCTTCTGTTAAGTGTACGCTTCTAGGAATCGCCCGTGCACATACAAGAATGTATATATGTGTGTGTTTTTCTAATTTGAAACTCAAACTATAATGTGATAGAATTTGAACTAAAAATAATCTCACATCATGCAGTGTGTTGCAAAGAAGGTAAGATTACCTGCTAAAATAAACTTTAGAATAGGAGTAAATTTAGCAACATAGAAGGACACCCAGGATATATTGTTAAGTGAAAAAACTAAGGTTCCAAAATAGAATGTATGTAGGGTGCTATTTTTGTTAAAAGAAAGTTACATTCTCTGTTTTTGAAAAAATCTGAACTGTCACAGCCAAGAGGAGCCTAAGAAGACTTGACAACTAAATGTAACATAGTGTCCTGGATGGGATCCTGGAACAGGAAAAGGACCTTGGGTAAAAACTAAGGAAAGTTGAGTAATATACCATGGTATGTGTGTACCAATATTATTTAGCCTTTAAAAAGAAGGCAATCGGGGGTGGGTACAGCTCAGTGGTAGAGCATGTGCTCAACATGCACAAGGTCCTGGGTTCAATCCCCTGTGCCTCCATTAAAAAATAATCATAATTAGACCAAATTATCTCCCCCCACCCAAAATTTTTAAAAAAAGTCAGATGGACAGCACAATATTCTCTTCAGGTAGTGGGATTATGTGTAATTTTTTTCCCTCTATTTCTCTTTGTTTTCTGTTTTCTACAGAAAAATGTATTATTTATACAATGAATTAACAACACGCTGGGCTGTCAACACCAGCCCTTGTGGTGAGGGGTCCTAGGTGAGCAATCAGGTGCCATCCAGGCCACTTGCCTGGGAAGGGGCTGCTCTTAAATGGACTCTGGAGGGGCCTGGAATCCATTTACCTGCCCTTGGCCAGGATGGTGTTCCAATGCCCAGCACTCTACCTTAAAAAATTTCTCCACTTAAAAAAAAACAAGCTATGCATATGCCCATTGTAGAAAAATTTTAAAGTACATATAATACAAAAAAGACAATAATTCACTTGAAATTCTGTTGCCACAGAGAGCTACTTTTTACATTTTTGTAGTTGATCTTTTCAGACTTTAAAATTCATATACACACAGTATAAATATTTGCATACATATGACTGTTTACAAAAATTGGGTCGTACAATGGATGTGGCTTGGTAATTTGCTTTTACCACTTAACAGTGTATACTGAACTGATTTCCACGCTAAATCCGCACCGGCACTGTCACTTTCGATGACTGTTGTATTACAGTGTACTGTTGAACTGTGGCTTCTTTCATTCTCTACTGCTGGATATACAGGACTTCGTTTCCCTCAATTTTTATTTATTTAAATTTTTGAAAGGGGGGCAATTAGGTTTATTTATTTATTTATCTTTAATGGAGTTACTGGGGATTGAACCCAGGGCCTTGTGCATGCTAGGCACAGGATCTACCACTGAGCTACATCCTCCTCCACCTTCAGTTTTTAAATGATTACACTAGTACTCACTGAGTGCCTCCGTGGGCCAGGAGCCATGCTGGGCTCTGGAAGTCCAGCATGCAGGAGCAGCCCTGGCCCAGCCTCACAGGGCTCACATTCTCAGGGGAAAGGAGCATAATGACTCTGCATCCCTGCAGGAGGCTGTGAGGGCTGAGCGCGGGCACCCGTGTGCCGGGACCGCAGAGGTGGTTACTGTGGTCGATACCAGGGGGCACCGGGGGTGGCAGCACCACCACCCTGCTCTGGTGGGTGCAAGGCGTGATAGGTGCTCCCCGGCTACAGGACCCTCCCCCGATCCTGACTGCGCTCTGTGCCCCCAGGCCTGGACATCCACTTCATCCACGTGAAGCCCCCCCAGCTGCCCTCTGGCCACACCCCAAAGCCCTTGCTGATGGTACATGGCTGGCCTGGCTCCTTCTACGAATTTTATAAGATCATCCCGCTCCTGACTGACCCCAAGAACCATGGCCTGAGTGATGAGCATGTTTTTGAAGTCATCTGTCCATCCATTCCTGGCTACGGCTTCTCGGAGGCATCCTCCAAGAAGGGTATGGGGGCTGCTGCTGGAGGCTGTGGGCTGGGTGTTTCCAGCAGGCTCTCCACCCGGGGTGGGGATGGGGCAGGGAGTTGGCTGGGACAGCTTCCTTCTGAGCTTGAGGAGGCTGATGAAGGAATGGTCTGAAACCAGAGGGAAGAGAAGAGAGGAGAGCAATTTTAATGTCAAAGGGCCAGTGTGTCTTCTCAGGATCTGAAGAGCGTGGTGGATGGGGGACTGGGCGATGCTCAGAGCTGTGATTATGACTGTCCAGAGCTGCCTCAGGGCCTGGACTCCCGTGTCCTCAGGAGCTCTCCACTCAGTGCAAGTCCATATCTAGGCCCTGCACTGCTCAGGCCAGCAAGGCCAACCAAGCCCCACACGCAGTACAGGCCCACAGATGCTCGGGAGGGCTGACCTGAGCCTGTCCCCTACCCTCACTGTGCCCTTGCACCAAGGCCGGCACCAGGGCACACTGCCTTCTGGGCACCAGCACCCCTCCCTTGGGCCCCAGGATTCCTTGTCACCTCCTGTGAGCTGCTCTCACTGCAGCCTGGGGCGAAGGGAGATGAGGAATCTCCAAGGACACTGAGAGCACCCAAGACATGACCTTCCCGTGATTCTTCTTTCCCTTCACAACCAGGCTGCAACTCGGTGGCCACTGCCAGGATCTTTTATAAGCTGATGCTGCGGCTGGGCTTCCAGCAGTTCTACATTCAAGGTGGGGACTGGGGGGCCCTGATCTGCACCAACATGGCCCAGCTGGTGCCCAGGTAAGGGTTGCTATCAAGTGTGTGTGTGCACAGCCTGGGCAAGGTAGACATCTGTGCAGGGAGGCACGTTATCCACTCCAGGCCCTGCCTGGACACAGTGTCTGAGCCTTGGAGCAGGGGTCCCACAAGCAGGATGTTTGTGGGCCCAGGGAAAATGAGGGAGGGTCCCCTGTCATTCAGCTCTGCCTGGGGCACTTGGACATGGATCCCCACTCCATTTGGTGTCATACAGGATTGGTAATTCTGGCTGGGCCAGGTGCCCAGGCAGAGAGGACCAGTTAGAGGAGGGGAAGGTCAGGGAGCGGAACTTTCTGATGGACCTGACCAGAATTTTCTAGAAACTATTTTCTCCTCAGCCGGCTCCTCCACCTCATGTAGTCACTCGAGGAGGCACCCCAGCAGGCTGACCCTGTGCTCCTCAGCCCCATGGCCTCTTCCTCCTCCATCTCTTCCCTCCCTCTTTCCTTGAGGCCACCCAGCCTCACCTGGCCCCTCTCTCCCTTCAGCCACGTGAAAGGCCTGCACTTGAACATGGCTTTGATCTTAAGAAATTTCTACACCATTTCCCTTCTCCTGGGACGGCGTTTTGGGGGGCTTTTTGGCTACACCGAGAGGGATATGGAGCTGCTGTACCCCTTCAAGAAGGTCTTCTACAGCTTGGTGAGGGAGAGCGGCTACATGCACATCCAGTGCACCAAGCCCGACACCGTGGGTGAGTGAGCATCTGGAAGGCAGCCTGGCTCAGGGGTCGGGGTGGAGGTTACAGCCATTTCACTCAGCATGGCTTCCATCCAGGGGGAAGCCTCACTGCCCCTCTCACTGCTCACAGGGTGAAAACCTCTGTGAGGGACTCAGCTCTTTCCACCCTGAAACTGCATCTCTCCACAGAAGTGAGTGATGCATGGTCATCAAATTCTCAAACAACCCCATTTAGTGGAATCAATATTCCTAGTGACTTTGACCCCTGAGCCTAAGTCCTACAGTGAGAAGCAGAGGGATGGAGAAGGGTGAGGGGAGGAGGAAGCCTGGGGGCCTGTCAGGTCTGGGACTGTGGGGTCAGTGGGGGTGCCCTAGGGCCTGGGGGGAGTTCCCCAAGCCAGTGACAAAGGACCCAGCAACCGTTTCTGCCACCAGGGCCCTGTTAAGGGATAATTTTTTTTAAGATATCATACAACTATACTTTATTGGGTTTTTTTTGCTACTGTATATATTTTTGTCAATAAAGTAATTTACAAATGTAAAAAACCAAAAATTTTTAATCATAAAATCATACAAAAAAAAGAATACACGTCAAAAGATTTTATTTACCTCATTAATTAATAAAGGAACCAGTAAAATGTAAAACAAAACAGTTCAAAGGCAATTAGGAACACTAAAATTAATTTGCTAATAGATACAAAACTTGTCAAAATCCACAGGATAATAATCAATTAAAAGTCCACTGGGCAAAAACCTTTTTCTTTTGGTTTTATTGAGATATATTTGATATATAGCACAGTATACATTTAAGGTACACGGCATGACGACTTACATCTATTGCAAAACGATTACCACAATAAGTTTAGTTAACATCCAATATCTTATATAGCTACAAGAAAAAAAATGGTTTTTTCCCTTGTGATGAGAAATTTTAGGATCTACTCTCTGGACAAAATTCATTTGCTTCTCAATGAACAAGAATCATTTGCATTACTAGTTTCTATAATTTACAGAGCTGTAAAAATAGTTCTAAGAGAAAGAGAGAGGGGGCCCCCTTCACAATCATATAACCCTGGAAGGGTCCACCAGAAGCTCCCTGAACCCCTTTCAGGACACCCAGGAATTGTTTTGCCATTTCCAAGTCTGGTATAGTTGCCGTGACAGTCTCATGCTCACATGTTAGGCAGCTCATGAAATTAATAATAATAGAGCTTTACAAAACCAGGTTTTTCCCCCTGATTATGAAAGTAATCCATGTGCATTGTCAAAAAATTGAAAGGTGCCAGAAACCACAAAACAGGAGAGACAATTGCTATAACCTCTCGTCCCTTCCTCCCCTCTCCCCAGTCTTCAGAAGAACTTGCTAACATTTTGGCTGATGAATTTTCACAAATGAAATCCATCCATATAACCAGCACTCACTCAAGAAACAGAGCGTGACCCACCAGCCCAGAAGCCCCGCCGTGCCGTCTTCCAGGCACTGCCCCCGACGCCCAGGGCAGCCACCCTCCTAACCTCTGACAGATAGATTGGTTTTGCCTGTTTCCATTCTGTATATACTTGGAATCCTAGAGTAGGTACTCTTTTGAGTCTGGCTTCTTTTGCTCAGGGTTTTGTTTGTGAGATTCATCGAGGCCATTTTCCCAGCCATTTTGAATGCTTGCCCTGTATTCAAGCCTATTGGTGGGTTAATATTTATTTGTAGCTGTTTCCCTATTTTGGACTTTTGGGTTTTCTCACTTTTCACTAATCATAGAATAAACCAAATAATCCACTTCTTAAAAGCAGCATTCATATCTGTTTCCCACCTAGATCTCACAAAACCTGGAGTCACAGCCCCTTCAGTGTGAAGGAAGCTGCCCACATAGTGTGTGGGTCGCTGTGAGCTGGTGGTGGGGTGTTACCCCTTTTAGTCAGGTAAGGATTCCAAGGCTGAGGGTCGAGGAAGTGAGGCTCAGGAGCACCCCAAGAGTTAGGGCAGGGCTCTGCTCCGACGTGGGCTTCCCTGTGGGGCCAGCATCACACCCCCATCCTCATGACCAGGACTCAGCTCCCTGGTCCCAGGCCTGAGCCGCACCTTTGCTTCCTCCCACGCCAGGCTGTGCTCTGAATGACTCTCCTGTGGGACTGGCTGCCTATATCCTAGAGAAGTTTTCTACCTGGACCAACTCAGAGTTCCGGGATCTGGAGGATGGAGGCCTGGAGAGGTGAGACCCTGTCCACCCCTGCAGTCAGCCCTCAGCCCAGTGGCACTTCCTCACCCTCCTCCCTCCTCACCATCTTCATCTCTGGTTGCTTTATCTGGGTGGGATGACTAGCAAGTTCCATCTATTGCTGGATGTCCCACAAATCCTTGTCCTGTGACCCACCCAGCCCTGCTCTTTGGATGAGGAAGCTGAGGCCCAGGGAGGTCTAGTGACTTGCTTCAAGCCTCACAGTGAAGCAGTCAAAATACGATGCAGGGCTCAGGACTGTCTGTGTCCCATTTGCTAAATAGCCTCCTCCTGGGATCAGGGAGCCCAGAGGGCCACAAGAGCCTTTCTGTTGCCAGAAGTTGGGAGCAGCCCACAGCTCTCCCTGCTGAACCCCTGAAGGACCTGGCCTCAGGGCCGTGTGACTGCATGCTCGGTAGAAGCTGGTCCTGGAGGGCAGCTGCAGAAAGAGTGGAGAGGCTGTCCCATCTCCTGGAGACTTAGAGGCTGCAGTTTCTCCAGTGCATGACTGCCAGGTCCCTGGCCCAACTCCAGCTTCATCCAGGTGGTCCTGACCCCCCTTTTCCAAGGCCTATCCCTTTCTCTATTCCTTCAGAGACACAGAGCACCTGATACAGTGCTGGGAGTGAATGGATCCCGCCCTGGAAGTAGGGAGTTTGTCTAGGCCAGGCCCTAGCCCTGGCACCTGGAACAGCACTGGCCGTATAGTAGGTGCTCGGTAAATATTTGTTGAATAAGTGAGTCTTAATGATTCATGCAAAGGACTGTGGGCATCCAGGGAAAGAAGGATTCAGTTTGTCAAAGAGGCAGGGAGGAGAAAAGACTGGGAGAATCTATTTGATTTGGGCCTTGAAGGATGAGTAGGAGTTTGCCAGGTGGAAAGGGTGGAAGAAAGGAATTTAGGCAAAGAGAAAAGCAGAAGCAAAGGTTGGAACAATTAAAATGCAAGGTGGACTTGGGAGAGGGTGACTTGTTCCAAGGCTGCTTCAGGTACATTGGGCCCAGACCATGATCCCATTCCTGTAGGTGGGTCCTCCAGAAGTCTCACAAGCCCTCACCCTGGGATCTGTTTCTCCCGCCACAAACTGGGTAGCACTCAGGGGTTGATGGAACACTGCTAGGAGCACTTTGGTGAGGGCCTGGCCGTGCTTTTTGCACACAAATACCCGGAGCCAGATGTGAGGCCGGGTCAGACCATCCCCGGCCGCCCCCTGCAGCTCCTGCCCAGCTGCATACAGGGGGCACCAAAGCTGTGAGCAGGACACAGACAGCATCAGATCCAGAAAGATCACTAACTGCAGCAGGATGGAGACGGTTGGTGTGGTGGTTGCCAGGCTGTGCTCAGAGCTGCAGGGCGGATGGAAGCCCAAAGCCAATTCACAGAGCTTCTTGTAAATGCTTCTTGTAACTTCAGTTTTCACTGACTGGTTGTCATTTTGTCATCAAAATTGCGTTTAGAAAGATGTTCATTTTCTCTCTGTCCCTGCTCCATGCTGCTGTTGCTCAAGAGCCAGGATTTCAGAGAGGAGGGACTAAGAGGAATAGAACCCTGGAAGTGAAGAGGCCTTACAAGTATATTCTTCATCTCTGAGAAGCCTCTTCTCTTACCAGGTCTTCATATTTTCATATTTAATATGAACACCTTCCTCTGTCCCACTCCTTTGCCCCTCAGACTCCCTCTGCTCCTGTCTCAGGATGCACTAGCTGGGGGCAGGGCAGAGGTGAATTGAACATGCCTTAAAATGTGGTTCTGAGGATAAAAAAATGTAATTGATCAAGTGCAGCTAAACAGCTGAAGTAAATAAGTAAATCCAGCTGATGGACCATTTTTGGCAAATTGGCTTCTGATGAATCAACTAAGTTAATCGCCCAAGTGCTGAGGAGCCAGGCCGGAGGAGCAGCAAATATTCTTTAACCGGGGCAGCAATGGCAAGGGCAGGGCCTGGCCTGGGACGGGCGTGGGGTGGGAATGAGGAGTGAGGGCAGCAGGGCTTGGTGGGCATGTAGAGCAGAACGCCAGCGGTGACTGAGCTTCCTAACTCGGCTGCAGGGCGTGGAGGTGCCATTCATCAGACCGGGAAGAGAGGCTGAGGAGGGGAGCCTGTGTGTGTGTGTGAGTGTGCATGTGGTGTCAGGGCAGGGGCTCAGCAGAGAGGCTGAGCTCATCTTTGTCATGGATGTGCCAAGTGGCAGATGCTGGTGGGATGTCCAGGCTGAGGTGTCCACTTGGTAACTGGACTCACAGATCTGGAGCTCAGGTGAGGAAGTTATTTCGGCTGTGCTCCCAGTGAATTAGTAGCTGGAGCCACAGGGTAGATCTCCTCAGGCAGAGTGCAGGCAGGCAGCATCCAGGGATGCTGGGAGAAACCTTAGTGGCTGCAGAAGGAGGACCAGAAGAGAGTCTGGGAGGACAGACCTAGTCAGAGGGCCCTACCTACAGGCCTGGGCAGCAGGGACAGTCCCAGTGTGCAGGGGTGAGGAGGCATGGGAGAGAGGGCAGGGCCAGGAGGGAGGGGACAGAGGGCAGGGCCAGGAGGGAGGGGACAGAGGGCAGGGCCAGGAGGGAGGGGACAGAGGGCAGGGCCAGGAGGGAGGGGACAGAGGGCAGGGCCAGGAGGGAGGGGAGAGAGGGCAGGGCCAGGAGGGAGGGGAGAGAGGGCAGGGCCAGGAGGGAGGGAAGACCTGGGGGCAGTAAGGGGGAGGGAAGTGACTGATGTTTGGGCCTGGGGAGGCAGATGGAGGGATTCAGGGCCCAGGACAAGGGAGTGACAGCTCTCCTAAGCCCCCAAATCTGGAATCAAGCAGGGAAGGGCAGGCGGGGACCTGCTGCTCCATGAACTTAGATTTCTTCAAAGAGGAAGGCAGGGCAGGCGGGAGGCTGTGGGTGGGCGCATGGCTGTCAGGACCCTCTGAGGAGGTGGCAGCTGAGATTGGAGAGCACGAGTGTCAGCAGTGCTGGAGTCCCTGCGGGTCCGTGGACTGTCAGGTGGGCTCAGGGCAGCAGAAGGCCCCCAGATGAGGGCACTGAGGGGTAAGTGGATGTCAGGGAAGCTAGAGGGTCTGGAGTGCAGTGGGCAGTTATTCCAGGGGAGAAGCGTAGAGGCTGGGGGAGTGGAAGATGAGCTGGGGAGAGTGGTGGGAGGTGGGAGCCCAGGAGGGATACCCGGGGGCAGCAGCAGCTGAAGTGGACAGAGAGGGAGGCCATGGAGGGCTCTGGGGGCTCTGGACACAGGCCAGGCTGAGGGAGTCCCAGGAGGTGGAGGGAGCCCATGGTGCCAGCAGGGCCAGGAGGATGTAGGGCTTTCCAGAGTCCACAGACTACATACTCCAACATTAGGTACCAACTAAATATTTCCTCCTGAAATGTGGGGCTCTGCAACTTTGTGGGGTTCACCTGCTCAGCAGTTTCCAGGATGGAGAAGAAAAGAGGTGTCCTGTGCTGACTGGGGGTTCTCTGCAGGGCCCCATGGCTCCTTCCTGGGGTGACATCGGTTTGGCAGGGGGCACACCAGCAAGCTGGGGGCTGGTGAATAAAAATGCCCCAGGAGCTGCTGGCCCTGCCCTGCTTCTTCTGGTGCCCGGCCAGGGCAGGTCCAGGGGCTCCAAAGACTGCCTGGAAAGCAGGTGTGCCCCGGGCCTGGCAGGGGCAGAACCCCCTGAGGATGGTCTGAGGGTGGCCTGCACTGAGGCACCACCTCTGAGCAGGGGTTGTAGCATCCTGCTCACAGATCTCGGGGCCACCTAGTGGTGATCAGTCAAAGCCCCTGGGTTTGGTTGACTCGCCTACTCCTTCCCATTTGGCCTGAACCTCAGGGGGCCAGTTGGGGAAGGGGTCACACCACCACTCAGGACGACGGTATGAGCCAGCACAGCCTGCCTCGCATGCAGGCATCACTCTGCATCACCTGTTGTCATGGCAGCTGGTGACCCTGGGCCAGGCCTGTGACACGGGGATTAGACCACCAAGCTTGCGGTGAGGTCCGAGGAGGGAAGCCAGGTGGGCTCAGCGCCTGGCACGCTCTTGCAGCCTGGAAGTGGGAGCTCTGCCTGTCATACAGCTGCAGCTGGTACTGACAGTGGCCTTCTGGTCTGCTTTCCCAGGAAGTTCTCCCTGGACGATCTGCTGACGGGCATCATGCTCTACTGGACAACGGGCACCATCACTTCTTCCCAGCGCTTCTACAAGGAGAACCTGGGACAGGGTTTCATGGCCAATAAGCATGAGACGTAAGTCTGGCTGAGCCCGGAATAGGGCCTCTGAGGATTCTTCAGAGGCAGGGAGCAGGGGAACGACCTGGTCTTGCACTCCAAGGACGACATTTTATGTGGAAAAGTCCAGCCTAGCCTTCTGTGTGCACTGGGTGTGTAGGATGAGAAGACAATTTAAAGGAGGTCAGGAGTATTGGGAGCGACCCCCACATCTTTAGAATTAGCTCACGGAGGGAACCGCTGGGCGTGGCCCCCAGACATCCCTAGAGCCAGGAGCCTGTCCTGGGGTGGCACTGATGTTTCTGGAACTTCCCTGGAACTCTTTCCAGACCTCACAGGGAGACCCTTAGGCGGCAGCAAAGGGAAAGGGGAATAGAGGTGGAAGTTAAAGACTGTCCCATCCCGTGCTCACCCATGCTCTCCAGCCTGGGCAGCCCATCCAGAAAAGAGGGCCCTTAGTGGGTTGGGATTGGAGTGGGTGGTTAAAACCCTGGGTCTGTCCTTTTCTTTGTGGCTCCATGTGGGTGGGCGAACTGATCTCCGAGCCCCTGAACGAACCCCCGACTGTGCCCACTGCTGAAGGGGGGGCGGGCCACAGCCTCCCCCTCACTGGGATCTCTGTCCCTTCCAGGATGAAGGTCTACGTGCCCACCGGCTTTGCTGCCTTCCCTTATGAGTTAGTGCACCTCCCAGAGAAGTGGGTGAAGTCCAAGTACCCGAAACTCCTCTCCTATTCCTACATGCCCCGTGGGGGCCACTTTGCTGCCTTTGAGGAGCCAGAGCTGCTCGCCCAGGACATCCGCAAGTTCGTGGGGCTGGTAGAGCGGCAGTGACCCGAGCGGAGACAGGCTATCACCATACAGGCCCCCTCCTGTTGCTGCCCCTTGACCCAGAGGCCCCCAGTCTCCCAGCCCAGCTCCTGGTAGAAGTGGGGCTGGCAGGGCGGCCACCCCCCACCTTCTCTTGGTGAAGAGGCCCCTTTTCTGAGGAATGTATCCACGTCTGTCCCCTGCCCACGCTGGGACCCCATGCTCATCCCTTCACACCCACTCCTCACACACCTGTTAAGCAATGTGGCTTTGATAAATGATTTTCCTTCTAAGAGTGGCTGGACCAGGTGTCATGCAGGAGCCCCGACCCCACATGGGGTTCCCCTTACAGTAGAACTGGCAGGTCTGCAGTCTGCATTAAGGGTCTAGCTCCATCCTTGCTGGGAAGGGCAGGACAGCTCGTTGGGGCACCAGGAGGCTGCTCTATCCTGTTCTGGGGTTGGGGCAGCTTGGAGCTGAGGCCGCAAGGCCAAGGGACTGCTGGGGGCTGTGCCCGCCTCATGAGCCCTGTGCCCCACCTGCATCCTTCACCCAGGAAGCAGTAGAGAGGCAGCTTATCTGGCAAGTGCCCAAAGGTGCATCCCAGCCACAGGATCCCACGGAGAGAGAAGCAGCAAGAGGCTGCACCTCTCCTTCTGTGGCCATAGCTCTCCCTTGGCTTTAAGGAGGCCCTGAGCACTGTCCCCTTTGGAGGGAGTAGGCAGATGGCATCAAGGGCTGGAGACTGAGCCCCACTGCACTGGGCCCTGAAGAGGCAGGGAGGCTGGATCTCACCAGTCTGGCTAAATGGTCACTTTATTAGTGGTCCTCACTGTCCCTGCCTGCTGCAGGGTGAGCCTGACCCAGCCACAGTGTCACTGGCAACATGACAGAAAAGCACAGAACCACAGCGGGGATGTGGAGGAGCCTGCTACCTCCCAGCACTGGCCCGTTCCCCGCCGGCTCCCCGAAGCGCACTCCTGGGGGCTGGGGACAGGTGTGAATGGCCTTATCCCAGAAGGGGGAGCTGGGATGGATCTGGACCTTCATCTGGAAGCTATCTCCGGCCTGCGGCTGCTGCAGGCTCTTCGGTTATCAGTCGTGTGCGTGCCTAGAGGGGTGGGCAGCGTCTGCGTGCCCAGAAGGGAGAAGGTCGTCCACATTGTACATCCCCTCTTACTTGATAAAGTCACCATAGCTAATGGGCCGGAGGGACACATTTCCAGACCCTCGGGGGGGCCAGTAAGAACGCAGAGCTGCTGGGACTACAGAAGGCCACCGCCCGATGGCAGGCCCACCCTTTTCCCCTCAGCCAAGGGCCGGAGCCCCCTTTCTGTGTCCATCATTTTTAGAGCTGTTGTGCTTAAAACAGGTGGAAAGAAGTCCTGAATTTGGTTGGAGGTCAGAGTCAAGCCGCTTCTCCACCTGTGTCTCCTCACCTCCCGAGTCCCGGAGCCCGGCCCAGCCTGGCAGCCCCCCTGCCCTCAGGCTTCCTGGTGGGCGCCCGCCACGCTGTCCGCAGGACTCTGAACCGCGTTCTTCCCTGGGACAGTCCCACTGATGTTGTGGATGGCACCGTAGGTCTGCTGCTGCTGCGGGGACAGGGCTGTTCTCTCTGAGGACAAGCTGTTCAGAATCCGGGGCACGTAGGGCTGCCAACAAATGGGGGTGTTAGTGCTCAGGTGGGCAGGCTGAGATTCTGTTCCCCATTCCTCCCCCACTGCCCTGCCTCCTTCCAGCAGGAAGACACACAGAATGCTTACAAAGGACACATAAAGAAGTGCCATCAACTTAGGACATCAGGACCTAAAATATGTCACTTGCAAAACTTCCTAGAAGCCAGAGCAAATCAGAAAACACAATCACACAGTTCTGTAGTCATAGAGAAGAAAGCACACCCATTTCTCAGAGGAAACAAAGCTTCCTGGCACTGGATTCTAGAACTTCTCACTTTACATCAGAAACAGGTCTATCTACACAGGACAGGCTTAGAATGCTGTCAGTGGGACCTCCAAGCAGCTGACTGAATCTGCGTAGGTTATGTCTCCTCCCAATCCCAGGCTCTGGCTGCCAACCCCGAACCAGGCTGAAAAGGAGGGATTTACATCACCCCCCCTGCCCGTCTGGGGCATAGTCATAGGTGTGCCTCTGGGTGATTCATCTTCCTGAAAACTTCTTGGGCTGGTCCAAGGACAGACACTGGTAAGAGTGCCTGACACCTGGGAGGGAGCCGCTGGAAAGAACAGGGCTGATGCTCTAGATCAGCACCATCCTGGCCCTGTCTGTCTGTCTGTCTGTCTGTCAGAAGGGCTGGCAGTCACAGCTCTGGCAGCAGAGGAGCAGGACCCTGGAGGCCGGAAGCAGGGAGAACCAGAAAAGAAAGGAGCCCTGGTGTCTTTCTAACACTGTGCCCGCCTCCAAAGCAGGTGCAATGTTCAATGTGTTGAATTCAGAGGGAAGGTAGTGTGACACCCTCCTGGTGCCTAGTGGAGGACCTCACACAGGCAAGTGCTGGCGAAACACCTGTGATCAATTATCAAACCACAGGGCCATGTGATACAGCTTCACTAAAGACACAAACTCACCAAGCATTAAATATGCAAAGAAGGAAAGTGAGCAGGGAACTGAAACCAAGGGGGATGTGTATTCATCACGGCAGAACTAATTATCTTCTCGGTGGCGGATGTGGCTTCACATATCTAAGAGAAAACATCAGGAGGGACCAGGGACTCCCTCTCAAATGACATTAATTCAGAAACCTGCCTGCATGTGATCAAGGGACTTCTAGCTTAACAAGAGAGGATCCAAGCATGTTTGCAGGGCCCATGTGGTGGGGATGGCGGCAGGTGCTCAGTGCGCGGGTAAACACCGCACTTACTGTGAATGGTGGAGGCATGTGGGCTGCTGCCTCACTTCCTTTGTCACTCGCCGACTCTTCTGTCTGCAGATTACAGCAAAAACTTGCAATGAAAAACAAAACTGATCTTCCTGAACTAACATCCTCCAAACAAACAGACTATTAACACCCAGAATAATAGTACCAGCTGGCACAAAGCTCCCAGGGGCAGCTCAAGGCGGGGGGGTGGTGCAGTGCAGGGAGCAGGGAAGGGGGCGGGGAGGGAAGCTCCACATCACACCCAGCTACCCACGCCTTTCCCGTGGATAAATACAATCTGGAGAGGGCCGTGGATCTGTTGATATGGGAAGAGGTGGAGGAGGGAAGGAGAGTGAACCATCTTCTCCCAGATCCTGGCTGGGTGGTGGGAGGGGAGGAGCCCTTTACCTTGTAGTTCAGAGGGCTGAGGTGCTTGAAGCATCCAAAGCAGGTGTAGGCCAGGCAGACCAGGATGGTCAACAGCACCACCAGGAAAGTGAACAGGGTGAGGGGAGCCTTCAGACCTGGGGTAAAAAGGATGCCAGCCTTGGCGGGGGTAGGTCACACATGGTGCAGGAACTGTGTGTGACTTCTCCTTTAGACAGAAGATAAAGAGAAGGCATCACCCCTCTTCCCACCCTCTCCAGCAGCTGGGATGGTATCTTCACAGCTAGAGCACACAGAGTGACCCACTGAGCAGCAGGCATTATCCTTGGTCAGATTTCACGGACTAGGGCATCATGCCAATGGAAATTTGCCAGCTTCCTTGCTGGGTCAGTGCCCTGCTGTCTTCAGTGCCCCGGGCCAGGGGAGGATGGAGGCCCGTCTACCTGACTGGGACAAAGTCACACATCTCTTCTGCCTTTTCTTTTTCCTAAGAGTGTCAGTTTCCCCTCCTGCACACTCCCTCCTCCACACCGTGAGATGTGAGGACCCAGACCCATCCACACCCACAGAGAGCAATGTGGACCATCTTCCCCTCTGGTTCAGCCCCTTCATAGCTGATAAAGGGACCATCTTCCCCATAAGGCGCTCTGGGGCAATCAACCTGGCCTTCACCAGGTTATACTTGAGCTCAGGCTAGCTCGGGAACTGGGCTGTCAATGCTGCACCCCTTGCCCTGGGGTATCATCTTCTGACTGGACACCGAGTTGATGCTCTTAAAACAGTGAGGAATTTGACTGGCTGGTGTGGATGTGGGAATGTGAGGTTGGGTGTTGCCTCCTGCCCTCCACTCCCACCCTACTGAGAAGGGGCCCTCACCCAAGCGCAGGAAGGAGAAGAAGTAGAGCCAGAAGAGGCACAGGATGGGAGCAGCCAAGGCCTGGTTCACAGCCGCAAAGTGGATCCTCTTCTCCAACTTGGCCGGGAGGTAGACGAAGTAGAGGTTGTGCCGGTCCACCATGTGCTTGAGCAGGATGTAGATGAGGCCTGCAGAGCCAGGGCTGTGAGCTGGAGACCTGGCAGGGCCACAAGGGCCCCTCTGCCCCTTCCTCCCGGAGGTGGCTATTTGTGCCTGGAGCTGCAGCTGGGGCATCTCCAGACTGTGATCCTGTCTACCTCTCTTTCTCTCCATCTCGCTCTCTCTCCCCTTCCCCTCCCCACTTCTCTTACCCCCTTCCTGGCCTTTCTAACCCCAGGGAGTAGAGGTGTCTGTGAGTTTGTCCCCATGGAATGTTGAAATTCTAGGATCATTTTAGGGGGAAAGGATGCCTTTACACCCAGATGCCTGGCCTCACTTCCTCCTGGGCTCCTCCCACACTGAACCACCCCTTTATCCCTCAGTGCTCCCCCTCTCCTTTCCTTCTCCCACCCAAGCTAAGCCCCTGCACCCATCACTGCCGACAGACAGCACAGAAGGTGGGGGCTGCCTTTCCATTATCCCAGGTTGTTTAAAATAAATTGTTTGTTTTGAAAGAGTAATACTACTATAGATCTTCATAATAGCAGCAGAGCGCATACAGGGAAAGCTACAACTTCCTCCTCCCCTGAACCTCAGCTGTCACTGCCAACAGTCTCTTGGGTGTTCCATTTCCTTCCAAAGTCTTCCATCTGTCTGCCAGCTTCTGTTGTTGTATTTTAGTGGCAAGACCTTGGCCTTCCAAGTCAAACAGTCCTAAGTCCAAATCCTCACTCTACTCATCACTAACAAAGTGGTAAGTGCTTTGTCTGTGAAGAGGGGACAGAAACGAGACCCTGCCTTGTAGGATCATGAGAGAATTTAGTGTGATCATCTGTGTGGAGTGCACAGGGCTGGCCAGAGCAAGAGCACACGAGAGCCTCCACCACTACTGCCGAGATCCACCAAGAAGGCAGCAGTCAGCCGGCAGACCGGGAGAAACTCTGAGAGGTCAGAGTTTGGAAGGCCAGGGGAAGGAATCCATGAGAAGTGAAATTAAATTTTGTGTCAACTGCGGCTCCTTGGCAGCGGGTGGTTCTTGTGACTACAAGAGGTCCTCTGTTTGTGGGGCCTCGTAATGCCCCGGTGATGGCTGTCCTGGGGTGCCTGGCAGAATCAGCCCTCCACCTACCCTGGGACCTGCTGCAGGGCCACTCACCGAATGGCACGATGATGGGGCAGGTGATGCTGTAGGCCATGATGACAGTGAAGATACACAGCATCCACGCGTACATGGCTCCGAACTCGTACTCGAAAGCCTGGTTCTGGGAGGGGGAGGTAGTGAGAAGGTCACAGGTTTGGTCCCCCCGACCCTCCCCCATGCACCCCGGGTAGTGAGGGGAGAGAGGGTGGGGAAGGACTTGGAAATGGGAGGCTCGTAGCTACACCCGCCTCTTGAGGCCTTCTTTCCCTCCACCAACCTTCTCCAGCACCACTTAGCTCACACCCAGATCTCCCAAGGATAATGACTCATGTTTTCTTTTTTCTCCTCCCATCTACCCCACAGACCCATGAACCCCTCGAGGACAGAGAGGCTGTGTCTGACTCTTAACCCTCCACTGACTTTGGCCTCAGATCCAACATCAGCTCTGCCCCTTTGAGCCATGTGTTCCGGGCCAAGTGCTTAACCTCCCTATGGCTTAACCTGTGTGTCTGCAAAGAGGGTCTGGTGGTGCCCACCCCAAGAGGGTTCTGAGGATTAAACGACAGAATGCAGTGCTTCTCCTCTTACGGTGCCCAGGTGCCCAGGACAGCAAAGGAGAATCCCAATACACCCAATTTAGGGACTCTTGGAACAAATGCTGCAAGGCCACAATGCCTCTGACCTCTGTGGAAATCTACAAATGTATGCAAACAAGGGCTCGTGGGAATGTACTGATCTTAGTTGTACATCTGGGTATGTGTGTGAGTGACCAGACCAGTTAAAATACAAAAATCCACACTCTCTCCCCCAGCCCATGAGTCAGAGTGGAGAATTACGCAGACATGCCACCTTCACACAGGCTCCTCCTTGCGCCTCCACTGTCCACAGAGCAGCCCTGGGCACCGTGCCTGGCCCTTAGCGGGCAGTGGAGAGGCCCTGGGAGGATGTCAGGGCCTCCCATCCCCCATACCTGCTTGACGTTCCTGCGGTCGGCCGCGGTCTTGGCCATGATCATGCGGAAGGTGTAGAGGATGAGGCCGGGCAGCCGCAGCAGCTCCATGCCGTTGCCGATGAAGGCCGAGGCAATGACGTAGTTCACAAAGAAGGCCCCCTGGTCAGGCAGGAAGACGCACCTGGGGAGCCACCGGGTATGGAGAAGCTGAGTGCCCAGAGAGGGGAGGAGGCCCGGGGCTGGGCAGGGGCAGAAAGCCCCGAAGCTGGATATGCATCCTTCATTCCACGCGCATGCGTGCGTGTGTGTGTGTGCAGTGTGTACAGGCACTGAGAATGAAACAGAGCCCCTGACCCTGCTCTTGAGGGGTTCACATCCTGGCTGGGGGGACACAGACAGATGAACAAGTAAATACACAATCAGCCGGGTGCGGTGAGTGCTCCGGAGGGAAACAAGGCAGGTGGGGCAGTTTCACCACGTTACACAGGGCAGCCGTCAGAGAAGCCTTTCTAATCAGCTGATGCCTTGTGCAGAGATGCCGAGGTGAAGAGCAGTCAACCAGAAACCTGGGGAGGGAGCGTCCCTGCAGAGGCAGCAACAGCTCTCACACCAGCGGACAGGGCAGGGAGCTGGAGTGGGCCGGCGGGGAGGCAGGGCTGAGGCTGAAAGGTGTGGAGGAGCAGCTCGGCTGTGGGGAGGGCGCTGAGGGGCAGGGAGGCCACGCAGAGCAACCACACAGAGCGACCGCTGTCATCTGTGTAGTGGGGATGGTGAGGACAGTAGGGCCCTGGATCTGTCTTAGAGCAGTCAGGATCTCCTGATGGGTCAAGTGTGGCATGTGAAGGAAAGAGAAGACAGGAAGAACGCCAAGGTTTTTTTTGCCAGAGCAACTAGAAAAAGAGTCATGGGTGGGGGGCAATTGTGGGAGGAGAAATCTGGGGATAAAAGTCAGGAGTTTGGTTTTGGGCAGGTAATGTCTGAGATGCCCAGGAGGAATCCACACGGACACAGGATGCAGGGTCTGGAGGCACAGGCTGGAGTTATAGATGGGGACGTCACCTGTGTACTCTGACTCACGAGAAGTCAGGTGGCATTAAAGCCAGGGGTCCATCTGAGGTCACCTAGAGTGGGTGTGGCTAGAGGACTGAGGGATGAACCCTTGGGTGGTGATATTTGGATATTTAGGGCTTGAAGAGATGTTTGGAGAGAAGGAGGAGCAGAGAGTCCCAGAGCCAAGAGAGGTCAATGTTTCAAGGAGGAAGGCGCAATGGATGTGCCAGACACTGCTGAGAGATCACGTAAAGGGGACTGAGAGCTGACCATGGAATTGGCAATTTGGAAGACACTGTCAAGAGCTGGTTGGGTATGTGTATGTCTGTGGCTGCCAGTTCCCAAGTCCTCAGCTTACCCAGTGAGAACACATTTAATTCACTCTACCCTTTCAGGTAAGCACAGCCAGCCTTCCTTATGAACAAACCTTTGGAAAAATCTACTTTGAACCTTAGGGCCTATATTAGGACCTGAAGTACTACAGTAGGGGCTGGGTTTGAATCTCTGTCTCTTAACTAACTGGGTAGCCTGGGGCAAGTTCTTCAACATCTCTGGGCCTCAGTCTCCTCATCTGTAAAATGGAAATAGTAATTGTTTCTGCCTCATAGCTTGTCAAGATTAAATAAGAAAAAGAATGAAGGATTTAGCATAGCATCTTCTTAAATCACAGGTATTACTATTAAGTGGGTGTGATACAGGTTGAAAGTAGTAATAACAAGGACACACATCAGAAGTAAGTTTAACTCCACTCTCCTAGCAAAAGTAATCCTGGACCAGACAGTCATTTTGGTTGCAACGTTAATTATCACTCTTTTCTCTCTTCCCTGGCACCGCTGAGACCCAGCAGTTCCTTCTCCCTAAGCAGTTCTGTTCTCAGTAAGTAAGTTTCAAAGCATGAATGAGACAGCCCCTAATTAAGTTATGGCCTAAAAGATTAACCACATTTCTGCACATGTAGCATAAAGTGGGTCAGCTCCCATGGTGCGGCCCAGCCAGGAACCTGGAGGGGTGGTGGGGAAGCCACAGGCCCTGGAGCACAGACTGTCCTCTCACCACTGCAGCCCCAGCCCTGTGGGACATTTACCCGGGACCATGGCCCCAAAACTCAATGGGTCTGATACTTACTCCAACCTGATAGAGGCCTCCGAAAAAGTTTTATCAAAGAGCCACCGGAAGAAAAAATCCAGACTGAAAGGAAAATGAATCCTGTAAGAATTTATTTCCAACAATCCATGTGATCACTACATATGTCTGCATTTTTTTTTTTCTGCTGTAGAAAACAGACCAGGGGGAGGGTATAGTTCAGTAGCAGAGCACATGCTTAGCATGCATCAGGTCCTGGGTTCAATCCCCAGTACCTCCATTAAAATAAATAAATAAACCTAATCACACACACTCCCCAAAAAAGCCAGGCCAAATTTCAAGATCTACATTGGTTCTCCAAGATGCTACTTACTGCACCATAACTTATCAGGGCCTGCTTTAATAGAAACTTCCTTCCTCGAAATAACCAAAGCCATGGTCATACCCTCTCCCTAAGTGGAAGGTCTAGGGTAAGTTTTATTTTCAAACTTTTTTTTAAGGCAGAAAGCTCATATCTCCAGAAGAATCAGTGGGCCATCACAACTGCATTCCAAATGGGTACGACAGGTTTAAATGTTGCTAGGAATTTGCATCCACTTCCTGACCATTTCCATTGCCTTAGGGACAGTGCTCTTCAGATGGTTCTGAAATTAGAGCGGGTGGTAATATGTACCTGGTGAGGCCGAGGGAGGGCAGAATCAGCACCATGAAGATCAAGAATATGTAGACTTTGGTCATCATGATCCGATTTTCCCCTGACCTGTAGGAAATCAGAGTTGAGCCCTCACAGTCCCTCAAATGCCCCAGGTGTCCCCCGTAGGACCCCTGCTGTGTGCCCATAACCCTGGGGGTGGGGAAGGGGCATCAGAGACACCCTTCTCAGGGGCGAGCCCTGGGCACTCACTTGGTCCAGTGAGACTCCAGCAGCGTAGAGTAGTAGACGATGGTGGGGAGCAGGGCCGAGAAGGACCACAGGAGGAGGGTTGGGAAGAACTGGCTGATGATGGGGTCCTAGAAAACAGTCCGCAGCAGAGAGGGCTGTGGGCCTGGGGGCTTTGGGCCCTCCCCTGTTGGCATGGCGACCCAGTGCACTCTGGGGATCAGGATTTGGTCATCCTCAACCCCTGGGACCAACGCTGTCACTGGTACAGGGTAGATCTTCCATGATGTTGTCTGAACAGACAGTAACAGCACCTGACATTCGTACAGCTCTTCAGAGCAAAGAAAGCAACCTCACGTATCACTGAAGTCCACCTGTCTTACTGACGAGGCAGATAACCTCTTCCATTCCCTACAGAAAGCCAGTGATAGATGCCAGAGGAAGTTACCCTGACAGCCAGGGCTCCTCCCCGGCCACCTACCCACTCGGCTTCCCCTCGCCCAGTCACAGCTTCCAAGAACTGCTTCATGTTTGCTCCCAGCCCCGTCTGTGCCTGGTGCACTTGTCATTGTAACCACACGGTTTGGTTAACTTTCACCTTCTCTGATAGAATGAGCATAACAGCAGATTTCTTTGAAAACTAAGTTGGATATTTTGGAAAGACTTGATAAAGGCCGGTTTCTAAAAAATGCTGTTGAATTAGACGAGAGTAAATTAACGTAAAAGACCAAGGGAAAAGAAATTTAGGAGGGTTCTGTACTTTGAATGGCTTTGCAAGTATCTTTAAGTTCCGGCTTTACTGTAAGAAACCAAAATTGAAATCACAAATAATGAAATAAGGATGTGTTTTATGTAAAACAGACAAAGGGGAACTCTAACCAGCAGATCCATTCTCAAAAGAACAGGCCTTGATCACATGTCAAAAGACTGGCAAAGGAATGAACATTTACATGCTTTAAATCTAAACGAAACTTACGTATTTTTTATCATCTGTTGAGTCAGATGGAGCTTCAACTGCCCATTAGCTCATCTGATTATCACAAGAGCCCCATGAGTATAACATGGCTGGTGTTTTCACTCCAGCTTTCAGAGGCAAAGCCAAGGCTCAGAATTCTTCAGCTAGGGAATGGCAGAGAGAGGACCAGGCCCTCAGGCCCTCAGGCCCTCAGGCCCTCCAGCCCAGGGCGCTTTCCCAGCACATGACTGACCAAATGCCGAGTGTAATTGGAAAAGAGGAAAAGCTTTAGGGTGATGTTTCAGGAAAGCTAATTATGGAAACAAAGTAGATGCCATTAGGGGGAGTGTTTAGCTGTTATCTCATCAATTCATCTAAGATTCTTAAAAATCATTCATTACCTCCATAGAATAAATAACTTTACAACAAGATTATCAGAAACTGAAATGTAAAAAAAAAATTAATTCATGGCCCTGCCACCCACAACAATGAAGTTCTTTTCAGTCTTTCCCACCCACTCCCCGTAGCATCCGTTGTAAGCACACATCACTGGCACATCACTACAACCAGTGCTGAGAGACAATTTTATATTCTGCTTTTATCGTAAGCCCCCATGTCTGCCACAAAGTCTATAGTTATTTCAATGGATGCTTAACAGTATCAGACTGAATATTCCCCCATTTAATTCAAATTACCCCTACTGTTGACTATTTAGATCAATTCTATTAAAAATATATGTCTTCACAGTAACACACACCCTTACATATACATACACACACATATACATACACCCACACATATACATGACATTGTAATAAATGTGGCCGTGCCCACTCAGGGCTTAAAAGCACAGACAGGAGCCGAGCGGCATGGCCTCCTGGTTCAGCCCCGCCAGCCTTGTCCGCATTCCTCCCCCACCCACCATGCCCCTTTGTCGCCAGCCCTCCTGGGATGGGCTCTGCAGAATGGTGACTCACATTCAGCGCGTGGATAGGTTTGGTGACATTGAACTTGTCCATGGTGGACAGGATGATGGAGGGTGTGGTCAGGAAAAACAGCCCCACGGAGAGAGTGAAGTTGATGCCCAGCCACTGGAACCACCAGCGGAGGCCCTGGATAGAGAGGTTCTTCCTGCAGGGGGAAGGACACAGGCCCTGGAGGCTTCTCTCTCAGACTCTGGCCACCTAGGACACCCACAGTGCCAGTGGCTTAGGTGGGTCAGAAGGTCAAATTGAGGAGAGGCAAGGGACTAGACTGGGGATTCTGGCTGAGGGCTCCTTTTGACCTCAGGAGCACAGGCAAGTGAAGGCACTGATCTTCAGCTACAGGAAGGCCAAATGTGGGGTCCCTGTGAGCTCCAAGGGAAAACAGGTTATTCGCTGCCATCACGGCTCCCCAGCTAGAGCCTGGGGGCCACAACCTACCCAGAGAGTTGCCATGAGCACCCAAGCAGACCAAGCAAGGCTCCAACACGGCATTTCTCAGACATGCTGGAGACACATGATTCCCATGGGGTGTGTGGAGGGAGGCGGGGGACAAAGGCACAAGCAAAGGCTGGAACCTGCCCTGGCTTATCACCCCAACCAAGAACAGACTGACAAACCAGTCCCACGTCTAATCAACCAATGAGCAGAACCGCCAGGGGCTGAAGCACAGCCCAGCAGAGGTGAGCACCCAAAGCTTGCTCTGGATGAGGGACTGAGGCCAGGCTGGACAGCGAGCCATGCTGGGGCCTCTGCTGGGCTGTCCCCACCCTTGGCGTCAAGCTTAAGGCCCCGTGGACACAGCTCAGCCCACCAGCAAGTCCCCCAGGCTAGAGAGGCGGCTGACACTTAACCCAAGACAGCACTGTCTGATACAACAGCAACGAGCCACAGGTGGCTACCGAATGTTGAAATGTGGCCGACCTGAACAGAGATGTGCTGCAAGTGTCACATACACACCGGGTTTCAAAGGCTACTGCACGTGAAAAGGAGAATGTAAAACATCTCAATTTTTAAAAATTGGTTAGGGGTTGAAATGATAATATTTTAGATATACAGGAAGAACTCTTATGAAAGTTAATTTCAATAGTTCCTCGTACTTTTTTAATGTGGCTAAAAGGACACTTAAAATTACTTACATGGTTCCCATTATAACCCTCCTGGACCAGGGAGGGAAGCCAGGGAGTAACACTCGAGTGAAGCGCTGGGTGTGGACATGCCCCTCACACCTGACCCCCACCAGCCCAGAGGGGTCCAGGAGACGTGTGCTGTCTCCCTGAATGCCAGGTCAGCCCCGCAGGGTGCCCAGGCCTCTTTCCCACCCCTTCCCGGCCTGGGGACTCACCAGCAGATGTCCTCGGGGTAAGCGGCGAAGGTGACAGTCCACTTGGAGATGCAGAGCTCTCTGCTGTGGGAGGACGGCTGCGGCTCACCTTTGCAATGAAGGCCCTGACACTTCCAGGCATTGAAGTCTTTCAGGATGCTGCCAGAAAATGCAGAAATGGCCACGGTCCAGACCCCCCGGGTACCACATACGCAAACAGGACCGTGTGAGAGTGGGAGCCCTGTGGCACAGGACCTTTGTCTTATTATTAGTTTACTACACTTAATGCTGTGAAAGAGATGCCATTCTCAGCACACTACATGGAGAATTTTGCTTAGTTCTCAGGGCAACCTTGCAGGCCAGGGATTACTGTTCCTGTTTTACAGATGAGGAAACTGAGGCCCTCTGAGTTAGGTTCTGTGCCCCATCTGTTTGATCTGGCTCCCATGCTGTTTGCACTGCCCCAGCACAGGGCTCCCCCTTGCGGGCCCCATTCTGCCCTGCCCATGAAGCTGGACTGATCACACCCGCTGTCAGCCAGGGGCCTCACCTTTCCACTCCCTCACCTCTTCCCCAGGCCCCACAGCAGCATCAGACTGCGTTATCTACAACCCCAAGATGTCCCTCCCTAGGACTCCACCTCTACCCTCGCCACTCTTTCCCCTTTCAGTCCCCACAAAGAACCCGTCAGCCCCCAACTCCTGTCTCAGAACACTCTTCCTCTTGCCACTGGCCTCCTCTCCCCTCCCCTCCTCGCCCCAACCTCACTTCAGGGTCTGCAGGGCACATCCAGGAGTCTGTTCCCAGGGTTCACAAAGCCAAACGCAGGGGAGGGAAGGGCATCTGCTGGGCCACCTCCTTTCTGCATCCTTCTCCCCAACCCCACCCCTTGCTGCTCCCAAGGCGAGATGACACAGAGATCCCAGGCATTAGAGTGTTTTATGAGCTAAAGCCCACACCAAGGTGCAGCATGAAGCCCTCTCCCCTGGGCCAGGCTCTCAGAAGCGCCCAGGAGCACCCAGGGGTGTTCTCCCACAGCTGTGCACTTGTAGGGTGACGGGAAGGCCATGCACAGGAGGAGGATCAGGGTTCCAGAGCAGATATATGAAGGAGGGCAGCATCTACCCCACTGGCAGAATGCTGGGACAATGAGGTAATGCAAGCCCTGGGGCAGCTGTTGAGAGCCTGCAGTAGGGTAAGGCCACATCAACCAGAGAGGGGCTCAGAGGCAATCACCCATGCCCCGATGTCGCATAAACATGGGCTGGGCTCACCAAGGGAGTGAGTGTGGGTGGTTGTCCCCCGCCCCCAGCCACACCCAGAGAAAAAGGTGGAAATGCCACAAACGAATCCCAGTGATGGTGATTCAGCAGTGCCATCTCTATCCAAGAGGGACAGCAAGTTATCTGGAAGGGGACGTGAGAGTCAGCCAAGAGAGGGCCTGGGACACGCCCACACTCACTAGGTGGCCATGGACTTCTCCTGGAAGGTGACGAAGGCCATTCCCAGGGGCTGGTCCTGGACCCTGCATTCCTCTTCTGTGATCCTCTCCATCAGCCTGTCCTTCATGCACGTGTAGTAGGAGATGGCGTCCTCCTAGCAGAGGACACAGCCCCTTGTGATGACGTGGCCCCGTGCAGGTGTCGGGGGGCCCAGCGCCATGCCCCCAGCCCGAGCGTGGGCCCTCACCCACTCACACCCCTGTACTTCGCAGCAGCAGTACTGGCCACAGGGCTTGGGGTTGATGAGGGTCCGCTGGCCTGTCTTCACCTGCAGGTTTGTGTAATAGGTCAGGCTTTTCTCAGTCTTTTTTCTGCAGGAAGAAGAACAAACTTCAGGCTCACAAACCTGTAAAACGACTCACAGTCTCCACGCCCACTGTCAACGGTTGGTCACCAGAACCAGGAGCTCAGCTTTCTAAACAAGAAAAGAAAGGGGCAGGGCCAACCTCCTCCCTTCCCCGCTGGGGGATCCAAGGTCAGCAAAGAAGGAGGGTGAGCGTCTCAGAATGGGAAGGGGTCAGAAAGCTGCAGGCCAGCTGAACCCAGGCACACCTGCCCTGCCAGCCCTCCCTTACCTCTCCTGGCACAGGTAAATCAGCTTGGCCACGTTGTAGCACAGCTGGACCTCCACCACTTCACACGTGGGATATGCATCCCTGTGCCCAGGGTGGGCCGGAGGCAAAAAATGGCTGTTAGAAATAAGAACCACCCCCCTGCGGAAGGGGAGACCCCCAAGCCTCCAAGCGTGGCAGAGCAATCACGCTGCTCATTTCTGCGCCAGAGGAGGCCTCTTTCCTCTTTGTCTTTTACCAAAGAGGGAGATTTTGAAATATAATACAAAGAGGTCTCTTTTAATAGCATGAAAGTAACTGCCTGAAACTGACAAGCTTATATCCACTTGGCTTTAAATCAGTTGGCACTTTTCCAGGGGAAAAAAAAAACACTATTCATTACCTCTTCTACCCACCCAAAGGAATAAATGTATTGTTTGCTCTAGGTCATATCTACTGTGGACCATCACTGAATTCCTATTCAGTTTGTGACCCTTTTGAAGAGCACAGACCTTTTAGGTCTGATGAAACCAAAGACCCCTCCGCCCAGAAAATGTTTACACAGGCATCAACATAGTAAAATACTGTAAGTATGCTGTATGTATACTTACTATTGGCCAGGTACTGATAGAGCATTAAGTTATATAATCCTCATCATAACCTGTGAGGTTTTGTCCCCATTTTACAGATGAGGAAAATAAGAGTCAGAAAGGTAAAATGACTTGCACCCAAGGTCACACAGCCAGTGAGCGTCTGAGCCAGGATGTGAATGCAGGTGGCCCAGCTCCAGGGCCCATGCCTGTAGCCACCATATGGTGCTCCCTCACATACAGAAATCATTCCTGGACTGTGTAAATCCCCACCTATTGCATGCCAGGCACTGGGGATGGAGTGTGGATACGTTTACATTTCAGTGAGAGAGACAGTAGAGAAACATCAGACATTCAATTGGTCAGTAGAACAATTTCAGGTCCCCAAACGAGCTTTAAGGAAGAGACCAAAGGTGTAAGCATTTGCTGCAAGGCAAATTCACACATCCACCCCCACACAGCGCAGCAGTGTTCACTAAAAGGGCCTCCTAAAACAAGGGAAAGTGTGAGTCACTGTCTGTATGGGAATGAGGGGATTTTCTTTTTTTTTTAAAGATTACACACTAAGTGGAGCTACTGTTTCCAAATGTTGCCTAGTAGGCAACTTTGGGGGGCTGTTTAAGGAATAGGGAAAAAGTTTTCCAGTATCCAGTGTTTATACATAAAAGAATATTTCTAAAATACCTGGAGTTTCTGAAAGAGGAGTTAGTCAATAAATTTTAAACATTCATTTTACAATTCTGTTTATACTGACAATTTGCTTAGCAAGTATTCTTCATAAATAGCACAAAGTTATGCTGTAGTCAACCCCCAGCCCATACAAATTAACGATGACTGTTGCTGAATTGATGAGAAATGAATACAGACTCCTACCTGAAACCTCAGGTCCCCAGCCCAGGGTCCGGGGCCTTCCGCCCTGCTCTCCCTCCGCCATCCCCTTTCCTGATACTCCACACGACAATCCTGCATTCATGGCACCACACGCACAATTTCCTTTTTGTGGGAAAGCCCCTCCTCCAGCCTCCACTTGCAGGAATCCCTGGTACAGGTGCTCAGTAAAGGTTTCTGGAAAGGAGGTTCTGCCAGGAAAGCTTAGACTCTCTGAGCAGTGAGTGAGTTCTGGGAGGACAGGGCTCCAGACAGGGTGCTCACTCAAGAGACAGCTGCTGAGTGGATGGATGAACCCATGACTACACAGCCTCCCATCTGAGACTGCTCTCTCTCAGGTATCTCTTACTCTGCAAAGCTGACGCTGAGAAGCCCAGGGTGAATCCCTTTCTTTTCCCATGAGCTCTCAAGATGTTTATCTGCCCCTACACCCTGGCCTGGGCTCTGCCCGCACACAGCAGAGCTCCGTGGCTGGGCCAGGTCCTGCTAGGATCTCTGTGGGTGCCCAAGAGAAGGCAGAGTGCTCATGTAAGGTGCCTGTTCCGCCTAGAAGGGGCTTGCTCAGTCCCTGCTCTCCCACCAGAAGTGGCTTGCAGAAATTGTCCTGCTCACCGGAAGTGGCTCTCTACCGTCTCCTTCTTGGCATTTCTGGGGAGTCCTGTGATGAACAGGGTCCGCCTCACCTGCCAGAGAAACACCCCAGGGAGAAAAGTCACCAGGGCAAGCCAGTCTGCGGGGGAATCCAGGTTTTCCACCCCATTCAAGCCCCACCCCAAAGAAAACAGAGGGGACTTGGGCAATGCAGGCACTCTACTTCCTGGCCTGACCGAGCCCTCAAGCCTACTATTTACACAGTATCGTCTTCTAGGCTGTCAAGCACACATTTCCAAAGAAATTTCTATAAGCCTCCTTGGCACGACCAAGAAAGAACCTAGAGAGGGGAAGTGACTTAAAGTAGGTCACAAATGAGCAGATCAGAGGCCCCAGGCCTGGAACCATGTAACAGAAACTCCCCCTCCTCTTGTCAAGCTGTGGGTTGCTGATCTCAATCCAAACTTCTTGGAAGTTACTTAGAATCGGTAAGCCCAAACCCCACAAGTATAAAGGCTAGTTGGCAAAACACGAGGAAAATATCCAAATCCTAATGCAATCTGGCAGAAAAAAAATGTCCTCCTTATGCTCACTGCCGTCATGGTCCTGGAGAATAAGCCTGGTGCCATTCCACTCCGGCTCCCACCTGAGACCCTCCCCAGCACGCGCCCACCCCCCAGCCTCACTCACCAGGCTCTCCTCTTTGTACTTGATGGACTGGGTGTGGTGCCGCATGAAGACTACAGTGAGGATGAGGTAAATGATGGCGAAGATGGTGTGCAGCCAAAGGAGGTCATTGCTGGGGGGAGAGGGACGGCAGGTGCCATGGGGGCTGGGCTCCCTGGCAGGTTACCCTCATGGCACTGAGCTGAAGGCCAACGGCTTCTTCACAACAGGCTCCTCTGACAGGTCACATGGCCACTGTCCCTTTAGAGGTGGCACGGTCCTGACAAATGAACCCCAGACCCAGAGGGCCCTCCATATGTCCTAAAACCCATGGCAACACAACAGCTGCCCGGGGCATAGCCATACTCACAGCCCAGCAACAGGCACTAGCTGCAAAGAGGCTTTCAGACATTAGCCTGCTTGCTCTGGCTGCTACCCTGGGCTCCAGACTCTGCCTTCTCCTTGGGCTCAACCGTCAGCACCCTCATGCCCTCCCACCTCAAACTCACTCAGTCTGTAGGTTCGCGATTGTCGTCCTCCCAAAACTGTAAGGGTCTTTATCTGCAGAGAAGCACAGATACTCAGTGCCAAGGTCACACTAGGGAAGAGGGGGTGGGCAAAACCAGCCTTGGTTTGTGGAGCTCTGAGGAGGAGCAAAAGACACCTGGACCAGTCAGAGGACAGGGACCCCGGCCCCGCCTTTCCAGAGCTACAACAGCCATAGCCTTTGCTCTACTCCAAGCTGCTCTCTCACAGCTTCTTCTCAACCTATCATATGGGTAAAGTCACAATTTGAATTCATCTTGCTTTGAGATTCTTATGGCATTCCTTGAGAAATCCAGAAACATCCTAAGCTGTTTCCAAAACCAAGGTTGGGAATCACTGAGCATAAGAAGTGGATTCATGGTGGTATTTTGGAAGCCAGATTCCTGTGGGTGCTTGGAAATATAATTCTCCTTTCTGATTTTCACTTTGAGCATCACAAACATCTTCTGGATCCACTAATTGTGGCCTCCTGATCTGGGTGGGGGCAGGAATCTGTACATCCTCTGAAAGCCCCTGCTTTAATAAATGTTGGTGTCTTCCTCCTACATAGACTGCAGGGGCCCCAGCTCTTGGCCCGGGTTTGGGGTGGATTCTTCTCCAGATCTTTAATCAGATGAAGAAGTTCAAAAAGTCACCCTGAGACCTTCTCACACCTGAATTTAAGCATGAATCCTGGGGTTCTGATCCTCCAAAGCCCCTCTCCCCAGGGCTGCCGCTCTGCCCGGGCCCAACTCAGGTACGATGAGGAGACCTTACCCAGCAAGTTCCCCGAGAGGTTGACAGGCAGGATGACACACAGTGACAAGAGGCTGACCACCGTCAGCAGGAAGATGATATGCCTCTGGAAGGACAGGTAGTGGATGGCGTCCTCCCCACACCACTCCAGGATGTGGTCATCACTGGCCAAGACACACACATGGAATCCTAATGAGTGGTGGTAACAGGCTGGCCCTTGGGGTCTTGCACGGGTTATCTCATTTAATCCTCATGACTGTCCTGCCAAGTAGATTCCAATTTTATCTCCATTTTTTTTTCACACATGAGGGAACAGAGGTACAGAAAAATTACATTAACACTTACAACCACCCAGCTTGTAATAGCAGGGCTATGACATGAACTCGAGTCTGCCCTCTCAGCCTGCACCCCATACTCCTGGACAAAGACACCTGCCACTGCTCCATTTTATGGCTCTAGAAGCATTTGTGTCCATGTTTGTGTGGGAAGGTGTGTCCATAAATTATCCCACAGCCCTTTTTTGCTTCTATGAACAAGCAAAGCTACTGATGAGAGGGCTTCTGGGAACCTCCTGAGCAAAGCTGCACCGTGTCCGGTCTCACGGCCCCCACTCTCTCCCAGCTTGCCCGAGTGGCCTGAGTCCCAACCAGCAGCACCATGGAGAGTGGCTGAGCAGAGGAAAACCTACCGAGGGCATCTTTCAGAGGTAGGGTTAGTGTTGACTTAACATTTCTTCTTATTGATTCTTCTCTGTATGTGAGGGATTCTTTGCACAGGGTATGAATTACTTCCAATATCAGGAGGAAATGAACCCTACTGACATGATTTTATGGTGGGCAGGGATGGGTGAGGTTGGCAAATCCAGTTCTCCCACCTCTGTCCTCTCCTCCCTCCCAGAAACCCCTCCTGCTTCCTCCAGCTCCAGAGCAGAGTTCACTGGCTTTTTCTACATGACTGCCTCCTGCCAGTTCCCCTGGGAACAACTCTTACCCACTGTGACGGTTTACAAGGTGCTCTCACACGTATTAATTCATTCGAATTAGACAGAGCAGGTGTTATCCTCGGCCCCTCTTTATAGTTGGGGAAACTGCGGTTCAGAGAGAGGGACTTACCCAATGTCCTATAACCACCACATTTCATCGACTCTAAGATGTCCTTCTCATATTTCAACACCTCTGAAATGGGGTGCACCCTGTGATCATAGCTGATTATAGCATAACAGGCAGCACTTTCTCATTCTTGGCGCTGTGTAAAGTAACGTGCGTCTTACAACGGTGGCTTCTCAGAGCCGATGTGCTCTCGCGCTGCCACCACATGCGAGGTGACTAACTGGCTCATAACCACCAAGCACCTCTTTCAGGACTTCTAAGGGGAAATTTGGGGGGGCGGTTTTGGTTTTGGTTTTTCAGTTTTATTAGGTTAGAACTGTTACAATTTGACTGCACGTATACAATATATTGCATGTAAATAAATACATATACACAGTATACAGCACATTTTAAAAATTTACATATATGTACTGTCTATTGCTTCTAAGAATGTTTAGAGCTTTAGCTCTTGAAACTTACATAGTTATCAAACGAATAAAACCAACCACAAAATAAGAATTAATTCAAAAAGATACATACACCCAAGGGGCCCAAGTTTGGGGGGAAAAAAAACTCTTAATCAAATAAGCTGAATATATTAAGCAATCATTATTTCTCTACTTTTCACTAATTCAAAGACATATAAAGTTGCCTAGAAGAGCTTCTAACCAAATATATCAGAGCTAAATAGTAAGTAGATATAATTCTTGCCTAAAGCAAAAAATTAGCTTTAATTAGCCTGCACAGGGGCTGCCTGAGAGCTACCTTTATTCTCAGCCCCCATATAATGCTTTGGGCCTTAACTGAAAAGTACCTAAGAGACTCCAGCTCAGGACCAGGCATCTTGGCTCTTTCCTCCTGACTGGCCAAACACCCAAACAAACCCACCCACACAAAGCCTCCCGCAGCCACCACACTGTACTCACTGCAGGCGGAAGATTGCAGTCAGCCAGGGGCAGCATCCCTGAAAATGGAGAACAGGGAGTAGCGTCCAATAATCTTTGCTTTTTGGAGGCAGATACAATCATCATCTTTGACATTAAATAACCACCTAATCTTTTGTTTCATAAAAACAGTGCTTTTGTCCCAAGTTCAGCAAGCTACCCTCTCGTCCCAAACATGACAGAGTCTGTGTGCTTCCAGTCCTTTGGAACATGCATCCTATGCCCGAAACTCTCCTGAAAACCCCCCAAGTTTTGACAGTTTTGAGGAATTATACAGGCTCCTGGGTCAAATCGTGAAACCTGTATCGAGAGCTGATGAAAATTCAGGACCACTCTGGAGAAGCTGACAAGGGCTTCTGTTTGTTTCAGAATGACTGAATGAGGTGCCAGACAAAAGTCAGGAAACATGTCCACTCATTGGACAGCTCCCTGGAGTGGGATCTAGAGAGGGAAAGGGTACTGTCCATCTCATCTCTTACACTTAAGACCCCACAAAGCTGGACTGTCACCCGTCTGGGAAAGACAAATATTTGTTCATCATTCATTCGACACTTACTTAGCGCCTACTGGGTGTCAGGAGGTGGGGAACGGGGCTGGATAAGACATGGTTCCTGCCCACAGCTGGCTCATAAGCCAGCAACCAAGTCAATAATTAACTGCCACACAAAGCTGGAAGTGTGATAACACAGACAAGTGCAGTAACCCTCTGCCTGAGGCTTAATCAAGTCTCAAGATCCTGGGTCATCCAGCTGCCACCTTCCCTGTAGTATTTCTCAAGTTCAGGTGCCTTCATCAAAGCAGAGAAGAGTTCTCACCAGTACTTGCCAGTCAAGGTCAAGGGTACAAAGTTAGCAGCTAAAGAGGAGCACAGCCACCCTCTCCCGCCAGCTCATCACTGCCAGTCCCTGCAACCCCCTCCCCACAGCCACAACCACAACTGCCCCTTCAATACCAACCAGCTCGCTTTCAAAGTCCTGCTGCCCTGAAGAGGAGGACGACAACCTTTGGAATCTGGACTCACTAGAAACACAAAAGGAAAGAATGGCAGATAATTCTTTTAAAAGGTCTAAAAGCTTATGTCCAGCATCCTAGAGCTCAGGACCAAAGCTACTAGCCTTCAGTGGCTGGGACAAAACATAAGTCACCCTGTGAAAAATACAGGCAAGAGCAATGAGCATTCCAAGGTATGGCGAGACATAAAACTGTCACATGGATGAATAACGGGGTCAGAGCATCAGTGGACCATCCTCTGCCCCTGAACCTCAGCACCATGACTGGTCTACCTAAAGTGACTTCAAAGTGTTGCCTGGTTACAATATATTCCCCAACATAGCAACTAAAACTTGGAATAAATACTGTATTTTATCAAATCTAAGACACCACTGAATGTAAGGGGCACAATTATTTTTATGAACCGCTAGGGGAAAGAAAAAAATGCTGTCAATTGAACTATGACCACCAATGATAATAAGCAGCCCCCAATTTCACAGATGAGAAAATGTCACTGTGCATTTTAGAGTTCATGAACTGGGGCAATTTACGCTGTGGCATTTTAATCAGACCCTTTTTTCTAAGTAACCCTGCGAATCTGAGGGGTCTGCAGTGTGCTGTTTTGCTTCTATTTTCCTACTCCTGGCTCCACAGCCCCACTTCTAATGGCATAAGGCCTGGTGAAACTTAACTGTCAAAGCCATTCCAGACAACTGTGCCATTTGACCTTCAGGGTAACCCTACAGGGAAGAAAGGACAGGAGGAAACAACCCAACAAGTTGGGGGTCTTGACCAAGATCACACGGCCACGGAAGTGGGGGGTCTCCTGACTTCCAAGTGCTCTATTCTGTGGAGTACTCGGCCCTCCTAGAGGTGAATGTGCCCAAAATGCAGCAGGTGTTTCAGAAGCTTCCCCCTAACGGTCCAAGGCTTGCACACAGCTGAAGCAAAAGGCTCCACCACCTTACCCCCAGGTGAACATCTGGGGCTTTCACAAACACCAGAGTAGAGACTGTGAGGAAAGAAGGTGCATTTAAAGCCACCCCCTTGCCCTGCCCGCATGGACCACATTTCAGCATGAGAGCTGTCTGTGGGGCAAGAGTGGGGATCTGCCTGGGGAGCCCCCGGGAGGCGCAGGCGGGGCAGCCCAGGCCAGTCCGTGTTTCCCCACTCGCTTCCTATTGCTACGTCTGACACAAGATCCTGGGGTGTGCGACAGCCAGCCAGAGCTGGAAATTCTAGTTGTGCAGATCTGGAACTCATACCCCCTTCAGGAGACATGCGCAGAGAGCCGGCAGGTCCAGGGTGGAGGTGGAAGGAACTGAGTCCTGGCTACGGCAGTCTGTGCTCTGTAACAGGCTATCGAAGCCAGCTGATTATGGCCACCGGTTGACCGTGACCCAGAGGACGGGGACAGCTCCCCTATGGCCCTGCTGCCCTTCTCAGTTCACCTTGCCTCAACCCCAGACCCAAACTAATTGATTTCAAAGAAGATACACCTGAAAATGTTCAAGGCAAGGAAGACAGCTGGCATCCTCCTCAGAGTATGAGGAAAACCCACGTATCTCAGGGAACTAGATTTCCTCTGCAGCCTGAAGCAACAGGCTCATGGCCACGGCCAGCCCCAAGCCCCGAGGGAGAGCCGGCATGTGGGCCTTGGTTTTCTCACCGCCGCAAAGAAGGTAACGAGACTAACCTCATGCGTCTGTGGTGAGGAGCAGAGAGAACAGTTTCGGGGCCAGGCCGGGCAGATACACCAGTGAACAAAACTAACACCAGCATCATGTGTGGGCTGTGCCTGGTGGGCTTCACAATCCCCAGCCCAGCCCCTCCCGCTCTCCCTCTCTCACACACTCAGAGTGATGCGTCTCTTACCTGCCTGCTTCTGACACCAGGGCAATGCGGCCATAATCCCAGAATCTTCTTCTTATGATGGAAAACACCAATATTAAAAACTAAAAGTAGAAAAGAAACCAAGTAAAAGCATACTGGATGGATTCTGATTAGGAGAGACAGCTGTCTTAGGGGCCAAGCCCACCTGCTTAGACTCAGTGGGCTAGAAGAACCAGAGAGGGCACCGGCTGCTCAGGGCCACACAGCTCGAGGGCTCGATGCTGTGCGCACCTTCTTCACCAGCTCCAGTCCCCTGTGCCCAAGTCACGAAGGCTGTCGATGCTGGCGCTGAGCTTGCCCTGGCACCTTCTTAGTCGGGCACACAGGTCCTGTCCCTTGCTCTTAAGACCGCGTTAACAGCCACATTCTTCTTCTGTCTGGTCTGGATTCAGGGGCCCCTGAGCAGGAAAGCGAGGTCTGGCTTCACGGCAGCCCCGGGAGAAGCTCCCTTCTTTACTTTACATAGAATTTCACTTTTAACTACAGAACCAAGGTAGCAGAGCCCCTGCCCCCACCCCAGGCCGAGCCAGCAGCGGTCAGATTTTTACCTTGAGTTTGGTAAAGGTCTTCAAGACAAGCTCTGGGGACACCTGGCATAGAGCATGTGGGGACAATGCCCCCCGGCGGCCTGAGGCTCTGGCTGGCTCGGCCACGGCAAGCTGGGCCCTGAGCAGGCCCACGTGCCTGACAGCAACGCAAGGGGTTGGACTCAAGTTTCTCTAACCCCCTTTCAGCTCTAAAAATCTGGTGATTCTAGATGTCTCCTCCCTCCCTATGTGTCCATCTTTGCAGGCCCTGCTCCTGCCTCTCTCCTCCCTGGACAGGCTCCTTCCCTTCAAGGTTCAGGGAGGTAGAGAGATGAGTTTTAAGCATATACCTGCATGCCCTGGTCAGGAACTGGGGTTTTAATTGTGGATTTTTGACCCCAGAGGGGCTGAGTTCCAATAGAATTTTCTCAAGATGAATCTGGAAGTAGGTGATATATTTTCAAGGGCAGGTGAGTCCTGTTGTCTGGCAAACATAAAGGCTGCCCAGCAGCCCTCTCCGCCCTGGCTGCTGCTTCCTTGGCTTGTGTGGTGTGGACATGTCCCATGTGTTCATGTTCTCTACGCCCCTCTGGCTCTTATGTGAGCACCCTCACACCCCCATAACTTCCTGCAATAAAAATCCACCCCTACCAGCACACTCCACTGGAGAGCAATGCTCTCTTCTCAACCAACCCTGTTCCAGACAAACCCACCCTAGTCTGCCTCTCCAGACTTCTCTGCTTGGCCCAGACTCTCCCTTCTCTGAGGACAACACTAGATCACAGTTCCAGGACCACCCGCCTCCATTGCCTCCATTAATCCCACCGACCCTCAAATCCACCACCACACTCTTGCCTATTCCCGCCTCTCAACCAAGGCTGGTAGATATGTCTAATCTCAACCTACAAATGGGTTTTGGCTCCAAGACATGGGTTATCTGGCACTTAAAGAGCCCTTTTCCACAAAAGCATCATGAGTAGCACCCAGATTTCCACATCTGCTCATAAAGAACCAACATTGTAGCAAAACTCTCATGCAACCATTTAGACCTTAATCCTTGACCCCAGGGAGGAAAATGGAAAGAGGGGTGAAAAACCCCTTCCCCCCTTCCTAGGAACATTTTTCCTGCAAGCAAACTTATGTTTGATACCTGTCTCCTTCAAGGACTGAGGCCCTCAGGCCACACTAACTCCCCTCCCCTAGACCCCTACCCAAGACTAACCTCTGGCCCAAAGCAGCCCAAGGGGTCTACCCCTTCCGCCCCCTCTTACCCCGTTTACTCAGATGGTCTCCGCTACATGTGAGGGGATGGCGTCGAGAGGGACCGACCATCCCACGGGCGCTTGTGAAAAGCAGGTGCCCCTGGGCCCCAGTAAATGTCACCTAGCCAAGTTTGAGCCAGTCTAGAGGAGAAAATGGCATATTCCAAATTGGGGGTGGGGGGGAATCTTTGGGAACAAGAAGGTCAACATTTAAAAAAAGCTACCTGTGAGGATCAGCCCTGATAAGGTGTCCTTGCCTTCCCCATTTTCTCCACGTCCGATCCTCCAAAAGCCCCAGGGACCCCAGTGGAGAACAAGGGTGACATTTATAAGCTGGGATTTGCAACTGTTCTAATTCTCATCCACACCCTCCATTCACATCTCTCACCCCTGTGGACTGGCCCTTCCCAGGGGTCTTAGACCCACAACAGGCTGATAACTCAGCGATGACAGTAATAATCAAAGAAACAGCGATGTGTGCTCTTTCCATACATCGCCTTGTTCAGTCTTCTCCAAGACTCTCTGAGGTAAGAATTATCACCTTCATTTAACAGAGCAAACACCTGAGCAAGCTATGTAATGTGCCCAAGGTCACAGAGCTGGGAAGTAGCAGAGCTGGGATTTAAACCCAGGTAAGTCTGGCCCCTCACCTGAGTGTCCCAGAAAGCCCAGAGCCAGGGGGCGGGGAGGGGGGTTAAACATACAAATAACTGACATGATTCACAAGGAGTCTCACCAGGAAGAAGCTGACGTCTATGAGCAGGACGGTGGGGATGCCACCGAAGGTGACCCCCTGGAGCACGGTGCTGTTTTTGGCTGAGTTGTAGCAGTAGGAGTCATTGGGCTGGTCCCCAATGCCCAGCTGCTCACGGATGGACACCTCCCTGGATTGCCACAGCTCCAGGAACGGGGAGTTGGTCATCGTGCCTGTCCTCCCTGGAGAACGGGACCGGGCAGAAGGTCAGGGCTCCAACTCTCCTGTGGTCCCCCAGCCAGCACTGGCAGAGCCAAAGGCCTCCTGGGTGTCTCCTCCAGGGGCTGGTGGGGCACAGGGATCGAGGAGAGGCAGGCACTGGACCCTGCATGCCGGGCAGATTCTGCAGAGAATAGCTCCATTGTGGGAATGGCCCCGAGGCCCAGATGGATGGGGTGGGTGGCTCACCCAGGACACAGCTGGAAGCCTCCCCAGAGGCGGGTGAAAAGGAGGAAAGGGAAGGATGGGAGCTGCTGCAGTGCCTGCCTAAGGGATGCCAGGTTCCCCCAGCCTCAGGGGTTGCTGCCAGTAGGTCATTCCTGTGGGAGCCCCTGGGAGACCTGGGGCACAGGCAGGGGAGACGAAGGCAGGGCAGAGGAATCAGCAGAGGAGGAGGAAGGGCATCTGAGTGGGCAACAACTGCTGATCCATCTGAGCCACAGACAAGAGTTTATGGGATGTCAGGCTGGGGCCTCCGAGCCAGACCCACTCCATACATGTGGAAACCGAGGCTCAGAAGCTTGAGATTTCCATTTAGATTAGGGAGCTGACTGGGGCAGAATTAGGTCTCAGACCCAGGCTCCTGGCTCCCAGATGCCAGTTCTCTTTCCACTACACCACACCCCCCTGCACACACGTTCGTTTAGTGAGGGGTGAAAGCCGGGAAGGGGCAGCAGAGATGAGGAGACAGAGAAGGCAAAGGGGGGTGTAGGGCGAGGAGGAGGAGAGGGTCCCAGGCCTCCTCAGGAACCCCTCGGTCACCCATCACATGTCCCTGGAACGCTCCCCTGGCTCCACCCTCTCATCCCTGTTCTCCTGAGTCCTTTTAGTCTTACTGGAAGGTTCAGCATTTCCAAAGCAAATATTGTTCCAGGCTGGCTGTTGACCTTTCCTTTCTGAGGCTCCTGGCAGCCCAAGTGAAACTAATGGAAATCTCCAGTGTCTGTCTCCTAACACCAAAGGCCCCAGAGTTGGTGCCCAAGTTCTCGCCTGCTTTTCACACTTGTCTGTGGCTGAAGAGCCTGGAAAAATGCTAGTACCCCCTTCCTCTCAAGGTCCCATCACCTTAAATCTGGTTAAACAAGATTCCCAGAGGACTTTGGCTAAGTCTGATTTTTTTGTTAGAGACAAAAATCTTGGGGACGAGAAGAAAAGGTATAGAGAACAAAGAGAGATTTGGCCTGCCAGGTAATACTGGTAGGTGTGTGTTGGGGAAAGATGATTCCCAATTCTGGCCCCTGGGATTGCTGGGGACCATCTCACACACACACGACAGGACGTGCAGGAAGAGTGGGCGGTGGGAGGTCCAAGGGCTTGGGAGGATCCCCCAGAAGGCCAAGTCACTTTCTCATCCCTGTAGAGATTTGGCAATGGCTGGAGGGTGTGATGCCAGAGACATGGAGTTGGTGGCTCTGCCCAGTCAGGAAAGCTGCCTCTGGAGACAGACGGTCTTAGCTTCCGTCTTTTAAACTCCACCCAGTGGCACCACCCCAACAGAATGTGCAGCCTGACGCTGACTGGAAACTTCTTCCTGTCCCCACACTTACCAGATGCCAGGAGAAGGAAGGATGGAGGATGAGTCCCTTGGAGAGGTCCTCAGTTGGCACTGGCTCTGGCAAAGGCAGTGGCAGCCCCGGCCACCTCCCGAGCTGCCTCAGGTCCACCACTCATTTCCTGCCGAGCTTTCCTGATTAGGATCATGGGGCACCAGACTTCCCTGAATCTGAGGGAACACAGACAGTCAGAGTCACGTGGGGGTGGCCCTCTTCCAGCTCAGGGGTTCTGGCCTGAAGCCCTTCAGCACACTTCCCCTGCACTCACACTTGCCCCAGTGTCCCTGAACTCAAAAGCTCATATGGAGCCTCTGGTTCTTCCCAATGGGCTCCCTCCTGTCCTGGCTCTCTCCCTAGACTCCCAGAACTCGGGAGGGTTCACTCCTCTGTGCGGCCCTGCTCCTCTCTGCTCTCTCCTCCCCAGCACCCCCTGAGGCTCCAGCCTCTCCCCTCCTCTCCAATGGCTCGAGGCCCCACTGGGGTCAGGACAGAGGTCCTTCCCCACAGAAGCACTGGTGGCTGTGGGCTCCTGGTCAGACCGAGTCCCAGAACTCATACAGGCCCCAAGGGTAGCTGCTGCTGGGAAGGCTTCCCATGGTCCCCCAAGGGCTAGCATCAGGAAAAAGGAATGCAGTGGAACAAACAAGGAAGGCTTGAAAAGTGAAGTGCTAAGAAAAAAATCCCCATAAAATGCTCACAGAGGGCGCCTTGTCCCTGGAACAGGGTGGCTGCTATGGTGGTGCCGGGGGCGGGATGACCCTCACTGACACAGCTTTGTGCCAAGTTTTGGGAGAGCAGAGACTCCACGGGAGGCAGGTACCTATGGCTCTTCCTCCTCCGTCAGTCTCAGTCACACCTCTAAGTCAAACAGGCTCCCCTGGGTGGTTTTACACAGTTTGATAAGAAGGACTCAGTTTCGTCAGCCAGCAAATACTACCAGCCTGGGATGGAAGCTCAGAGCTCCCAAGAGGCGGCCTGTCCAGTTTGCCCCCTCCAGGTAAGGTGCCCAGGTGAGGGCACGCTGTGGGGGCCCACAATTGCTCTCAGACCTTTTGGCTTAGTTGTAGACTGTCCCTGCCTGTTACACATGTGAAGTCCAGGTTCTGCTGAACCACCATGGTCCCTCTAGGACCAGGCCCTCTGCACCTTCCCAAACAGGCGGACTCTGAGAGGGCAGCTAGGAGCACACCCACCACAGGGCGGCCCTGCCAGGCTCCGGAGGAGCGGGAGGAGGAGAGAAGGGGACTCAGCTGGCGGTGACCAGGAGAGAGATGGCACAGTGGGCGAAAGACTGAGAGTGGGCAGGGGTCAAACCAGCAAGTGGGCCCTGTGGCCACAGCCGCCCTGCCCAGCCTGTACAATTTGGCAACACTGAGTCATTCCATATCGTTAGATATGCAAATGCGAGTGCCTAGTCTTATCCATGCCTCCCAGAGAAATTTCTGCTCATCATCTCATTCCTCAGGCCAAGACTCAGAAGACAAGAAAGCCGAGAATTACTCCTAAGGCCCAGTGGTCAGGTGAGCAGTAGCTGACTCAAGCCCCAACTCAAAGTTCAGCCTACATATATCCCAGAGTCTGGTTGTGGTCAGTGGGACAGAGGACTAAATCCAACAGCTGGTCTCAAAATTACCAAAGAAGTCAATCACCAGTGCTAACCCCCTTCCCACCCGAGCTGGGAGCAAGGACTGGCCCCTGAAGAGCTCTATGTAGCACACCTGAAGATCTTTATGCCTCCCTGGCAGAAATGCCAGCAGAATGCTGCAAGAAGTGTGTAAGCAAATTCAGTGTATTTTTATCATCACCAGATCTTCCGGCTTTGTCACTGGGATAGCAAGACTGCAAGCAGCTCTAGACCTCCTGCCACAGAAGCTAACTCTGATGTTCTAGATGCAGAAAAATGTCTCAAACTCCTCCTTAAAACCCCACCAAGCAGGGCCCAGGAACCTGAACAACCATTTACCTCCACAGACACCAGCCCTGCAGCACCAAGAAAAGGGCACAGCGTCTGGTCCCGGGGGAGGCAGTGCACCTGGCAGGCACCTGAGCAGGCTTTGAAGTTAGGATCTCAGCACCACGTGGTTTAGACAAGTGGCTTAACCGCTCCATGCCTTGGCTTCCTTCTCCGTGAAACCGGGACAATGATGTTTCTCCTATACAGCTGGTGGGAGGCATACTTCCAAGACAATGCCCATAAAGCACTTTGCCCAGGGCGTAACCCTAGTGGGCACTCAAAACTTGTCTGCTGTTAAGTCATCTCTCCAAACAATGGGAAACACAAAATATCCATCTGATACCTTCCCTGTTAGAGCCCAGTGAACAGCTAAGAGAGACCTTTGCCCACAGACTAAACAAACAGGAGCGTCTGCAAAGGGAAAAGGAGCCTCTGCTGTACATACACACCTCAAGGCAGTCAGACTCAGGACTCTCTGATCTGTGTCGGAGGAGGGGACGAAGACAGTGGGGTATACGGGAGGGATAAGGGGGGGATGTGGGTTGTTTCTGCAGTAAGGGATTGCCTGGAGTCCTTCCTCATCCCCAGTGACTGTCCATGACCCTACAGGAGCCAGGGCCTGAGAAAGACCCCAGGATGCCTCCCCTTGCATGCACTGGGCCTGGACTGGTGAGCACAATCCACTGGCTTAACTTCAAACCCTCAACACTGTTGGGGCTGGGACTCAGCCACACAACTTCAGGGTGCAAGGAAGCTGGGGGTTCATTTTGCATACTACGCTGAGGATTCGCTCTTAAAGACACCACCTGCGCTGAAAGACGGAGGCCAACCCAGGGTCTCAGGTAGCCACGCTTATCAGGCACTGGAATCTCTGCGGTTTTGGTTTCTCAGCAAAGTTCTCCTCACCCTCCCTTCCCCTCCCCAAATCCCCAGCTTCCTACCTTAGGACTCCACCGGGGCTGCAGTGAGTGGTCACTGAAGGACAGCCCCAAGGTGCTTTCTACTTTCCCAGCAGCAGGGGACTCAGATACCCTGCCCTTTCACAGGCCTGCCTCGCTTACCTCGCCTAGTCGGAGAGAGCCCCTAGGCTGCGCTCCTAGTTAGGCTGAGAGGCCGACTCCAGCTGACAAATCCCCAGAGGGAGAGACAGGGAAATGGGAGGGATCCGCCGTAAAAGCGAAAAGCTGAAGCCTTGGAGAGAGAAGTCCGGAAAAGCTGCCGGGAAGCTGGGAAAGGCGCAGGGCTAGAATGGGGATGCGCGGTCTGCGCGGCCCGAGGAAGGACCCTCTCCTCTCACCCACCGCCGTCGCCCCTCCTGGGGAGTGGGGGCTGCGGAGACCGGAGGGCCGCGCCCCGGAACCGGACACTTGACAAGGCATTCCAGTGTAGCCCCCAGGTCCTGCGCATCCCGGGAAAGACGGAGGACAACATTCCCCCTCCTCAACGCCCCTTCCCTTTACCTGCGGCGGCGGCGCGGCGGCCCGGCGCGGCCCGGGGAAGTTGTCTGGCTCCACCTGGCCGGGCGGGGCGGCGTCCCGACCACTTAAAAGTTACAAAGTGAAACTCTGGCTCCTCCTGCACATGCGCAGAGCTGCGTCCACCGCTTGCCCAATTTGCTCTTCGCCCACGGGGGACGTCTCCCCCGCCCCTGCGGCCGCGTCCCGCGTCCGGGGCCACCCACCCCTCGGCGTTGTCCGCCCAGCCCTGGCCCCAGGCCTGCCGCTCAGCTAGCGCATCTCCTCCCGGCTGTCTGCAGGCCCCGGCCCCGCCAGCTCACGTCCTGGGACCGAGGAGGGGGCCGCCAGGGCCAATTCTTCTCACCAGCACCCGGCTCGCCCCCTTCCCCGGGTCCCTCTGGAAACCCCGGGCCAAGCACCGGGTGGTCTCGGCCCGGGGACACACGCTGAGAGCATCGGCAAACGTTTTTGATTGTCGTCGTATTGCAGAGAATTTCCTTGACCGGCTCTTAGGCCCGCCTGGGGGAATGGGAGGATGGAAAGCTCGGCTGGACTCAGCCCGCGCCTCGGCTCCACGCAGTCAGCGGTCACCCAGCGCCGGCTGCGAAGGGCCGCGGCTCCCCCACCACTCGGAGCAGCGGGGCGCTGAAAGCCCTGGTGCGGCGGGGACGGTCCTACTTTGGCCCCAAACGGAGGTTGCAGTGTTTTCAGCGGCCTCCTGGGGCCAAGGCAGGTACTGCTAGCACCCGGCTCGCCAGGGGCACGGATCTAGCCCAGCTCACTGAGCGCGGTGTCTCCCCGGGCTGGATCCAAAGTGTTTCCTTTGAGGCGGTGGCCTCTGCAACTGGACTGTAAGCTCCCCGAGGGCGCTAGCGTGTGCGCAGGGCAGGACGCAGGACAAGGTTCAGTGAGAACCGCGCCCCCAATGAAACCGAAGAGCACTACCTGCTGCGGCAAACAGCCGTCCTCCACCGGCCTCGGTTTCCCCATCTGCAGCAAGAGAGGGTTGGAACAAAGCTTCCTCTCAGGTCCCTTTCAGCGCTAAATCTAAATCCTGAACAGCTCTTCACGCCGCACGTGTACAGCTTTGCAGGTTCT